ACTGTGTCCTCACTCTGGTTGTTGTTACCGTTGTTATAAGGGATTAAGAGCTACGGCTCATTGCATTTTTGGTTACAGTCTGTATCACTAAAGTGGACATGTGCAGGTGAACTCTGTTCAATTAGTATATGAAATGCCCCAAAATGTGAACTCCAGGCAATAATAACCTGAGGGTAAATCCACGTGCGTCTGCCTTTCCCCTCGTTCACCTTCGAAATCCTTGATTATTATATCATGCCAGAATTCTGAAATTCAGTGACAATGTTGCTGAACAGTAGAATCTGATGGACGTTTTGTGCAGGACCTGTTTGACACTATGGGTTCCAGGACCACTAACACTCTGAGCTGAAAAAGTTTGGTCCTAACCGCACCCAACATCTACAAGTTTGTAAGCTTGTAGACATCATTAAGAAGTAATTAACAGTCCCATGCTGAGACCTTTCTCAAAATTCAGACCGGTGGCAGGCTGCCAACAAAGAGAAGAAAATATCGCAACCCCGACACGAGTGTGCTCAGTCAAACAATGAACTTACGACCGGCAGAAAACAACTCCAGTTGAGTATGCCGATGCTGTATCTCAGCCGTGTTGGCCGGAAAATTTAAAAATGCTAATTAAATCCAAAATCGTATAATTATTTTTAATAGAAACCGTATCTTAATTTGTTCTTGCACTGCATCATATCGTGTATTTCATCTGTATATGTGTAATGTGTATATGTATCAATGACTACACTTATACCGCATATTCTGCAACAGACTATAATTAATCACCTTATTATTGTCTCTCCATTTACCATGGCTGACTGCACTAATACCCTTTTAACAGTGGACACCGATATCAGTATACATGTAGGCTTTTTGTTCAAAAAGGAATATGCAGGAAATTATATGTAACAATTAACTGTGTACTAATTACATGTTTGAATGTTATCAGTTTTACGTTCTGAGATACAGTGATGTAAGCATCTTCTAAAATCTTCTAAAAATATAATAAAATACAAAACTCTCTGCCGCAATTTTTTGTGGAAATCATTCGATCAAGTAAAAATGACTGCGTGACAAGACGAATCAACTATTTATACCCGATAAAAGAAACTGGCGTATTTTAGGAACAGTGCTATAACAAGACATTTGAAATTTCTAACAAGCAGATACATTAGAGACAGTGACTAGACTACAGGTACGTAATCCGTATCAATCAAAGGTGTAAAAAAACTGAAAATCATATCTGTCGGAGACCTACCAAATTACCAAGTTTTATCATTACTATATTTATTACAATGCAAATACTTTAGTGATACATTTTTTAGAGGAGAGGGCATACACACAAGTATATTGCTTCCGTGTGTGAATGAAGGTTGTACTTGGTATCTCAGTTCTCAGTTTCATACCGGTTGTATAACTGAATTTGTATATGGAACCATGCGTACAGCATGACAATTACTTGCTATTCGTCAGTTTACAACACACATAACACGGTTAAACAATTTTAGGCACCGCTTTTGCGAGTTATTTAGTACAATAATGTTTTACTAAAATCTATTTCAATTTGTTTTCACCATTTTCCCTATTGACAGTCGTTGTTACATGCGTCACTAGGTAATTAGTACGGATTGACCTTGTTTATTGTTTCTATACTTTGAGGATTTCTGTGGCAACTGGCGGACGTAATTCAAACTCCTTCCGCACTGACACCGCATCAAATATATTTGTGTACCGATTACATAACTCTAATGGACAGGGTGGGGTGGTAGTTCACCGGACGACACTGTGTATATTGGGCGGCTCCTTTGATATCTCCTCCAAACATACGTTTATTGAATGACCCCATTAAACGATGATACACATCTCGATGAATATATCAAGGCACTAATTCATCTTTCATAAACATTTTTTTGTCTTTGTGCTTAATATATCCACATATCAACGAACATTTGTAAAACATGTATCCTAAAAAAAATAAACATTTTCAGGCTAGGTATTTGCCCACAGCAACACCTGCATAACTGTTTATTCACGCGTGGTGTGGTAGATCGTAATTGACCGAGAGCAGGTATTGTAGAATCACCTGTAAATAAGGCCGACACTGTAATTAGATACAACGTACTAATGAGAATTATCATAAGAAGGCTGTTGTTTTTTCTGAACTGTTACCATTTTCATACAAAAAGTGACAATGCAGTTAAAAGTTGCTTTAGTGTCACAATATTCACTCGCGTTTTCCTCAATCGCATTGAAACATAATTCCCACTGGTCAGTTCGAAACCGCATGTAATTAAATAATTATTTCGAGATTTCGTTAGAATGTAAGATATTCAGCCAAACGTTATGCAATAAAAGACGAATAGTTTTTTTCATTAAAATACGCGCACGCGTACCTGTATATTGCATACCTAGTGTCACGTAATTGCCCAGTGTGATGTATCAACGGGACATTAAATGGGAAATGAAATAGAAACTAACTAAAATTTAATGTTGTGGAAAATAACTCCAATGAATTGGAGTACAGGCACATGAATTCGTATGATAAACTGTCAAAACGTTTTGAGAGGTAAGGCCGGGTTCATTAAAGAACGCTACAATATGTAAAACAGGTGAAATTTGTAGAACTAAAGGAAACATCCAACCAAATGCCCTTTTTAAATAGTAATGTAATGATATAATATAAAGTATATTTCACATGATACAATATACTTTGCAAACAGTTAGTTGATGCTTGAAAGGGACTGACGAAAACATGGGCGAAATATTTTAATAACGCCGTAAAATAGTTGAATTAAGTAAAAATTAGTTAAATTTTGTGTCATGATACTTGAATAAATACATTTAATGTATTTGCGAAACAAAAACATTAGTTTTAAGTAAAGGAACATATTCTCGCCCATGGGCCTACCCATGGGCCTACCAATGGGCCAAACCTTTTTCTCGCCCATGGGCGAAATATTTCAATATCGCTATAAAATCGTTGAATTAAGTTAAAATGAGTTAAATTTTGTGTCATGATACTTGAATGAATACATTAAATGTATTTGCGAAACAAAATCATGAGTTTTAAGTAAAGGAACATATACTCGCCCATGGGCCAAACCTTTTTCTCGCCCATGGGCGAAATATTTCAATATCGCTATAAAATCGTTGAATTAAGTTAAAATGAGTTAAATTTTGTGTCATGATACTTGAATGAATACATTAAATGTATTTGCGAAACAAAAACATGAGTTTTAAGTAAAGGAACATATTCTCGCCCATGGGCCTACCCATGGGCCAGACTTCGCCCATGGGCAGGCCCATGGGCGACATAGTCTAAATATTGAGTTTTTAAACAATTTTTTTTTAATTTTTTCTTCCTTGGTATGTTCCCATGAAAACGGCATGTTTAATTTTGTAAATACCTTTAACCGAGACTGGGCAAAGACCGTAGAGTTTCTGGACTTTTGGGTTTCCAGAATTAAAATGGGACGTGTTTAAATAAATATATATGGTCGTATGCATGGTCAGGTAATTTTGATGTAAATGTTTTTTACATACATTTGGCAGGAAAATGTGGCTGATGTTTCATAAGTACTGATTTTCGTTGAGGTGGAGATTTATTTTGTTCTCTGGTACAAGTTGGAATCTCGCTTCGAAATCATGGTATAGTCTGTATTAGAAAACTGTTTCACTTAAAAGAAAATCAATTTGATGTTGAGTTACGACAAGTGGGTTTATATTTATAAGTTAGTTATTGAATTTGTTTCAAGTATTTAAAGAAATTTAGAATACAAAAAAACAAAACACTCTAAAGTCTTGTAATCTGAAAAGTGTTAAACGTTTCTCAACCATTCCGTTCAAAGCGAGTAGAGGCCTAAAACAGACGTTGTAAATAATTTTCCATACTTCCTTTCCTTCATTATTACATTGTTAGATTTTGTTGTTGACAAGGTTAATGTTTGAAATATCAGTCCTCGTGTCACAAATATGTAATGAAATTAGAAAAAGACACACAACCCCCCCCCCCCCCCCCCCCCCCCCACACACACACACACAAAAAAAACCAAATAATAATCTTAGCAGACGCAGCCCCGACTGCGCATGGAGAAAAGGTTAAAAAAGGCGCCAAAATGCAGTCGCAATAACATTCCATTTTGCGCGCGATGTCAAGTTTCCATATAAGGATATTCATTTCTATCCATTGTTCTTTGTTAATGAATGGTCCAGTAATTAGTTGCATGATTGCATTTGGTCAGTTGACCCTGTATTCATCTAATTAACCTGATACATCACTTATACATTTACATATTAATGAGTTATCTTGCATATAAATGAGGCATTGACGTTGACAACCACCCTTTAATAACCTAATTGACCTGTGACGTCATGCATACATTTGCATATCCATGAGTTATCCTGTCAACTCCCCTACAATAGCTATTCAATTCAGTCTCAGTACCTTACTGACACAGGTGCGATGGACTACAATACCTATTCAACTCCCTGTTGACCTAAGGACAATACCTATTCAACTCACTGTTGACCTAGGACAATAGTGTGACCTCACAGATATCAAATGAGGTCAGAGGTCAAGGTGAGAGGTCAAGGCCAGATCATATGGAGGTCATAGGTCAATGACGTCATAGACACCTCATGGGAGGTGGTGGGAGGTGTTCTGTATCCACCAATATATCTACTGATACTAACTACACTGATCCGTTATGACTGGCACCCTGGTATATCCATGAATGTCTAAGCTAACAAACTATTTTGTTCTTTTCTCTTCAGGCATTTCTCATACATCTAATATGTTTAATCAGTACGAACACAAGAGATATGACTTCACCCAGATACAGCATCTGCCACAGTCCCCGATAATCGTACAATTTGGAGCAGCACAACCAGTTTTAAAATATTGCATGCTGATTTTCTCAAACAGAAGATTTTCTACTCATGATGAGATAAATTGAACATAAACTTAGACATTTCATAACATACTAAAACATTCAACAATGCAAGAAAAGTCTTACCTTCCCCTTACTGTCGTGTCTGGCTGGGCTATGAGATCAAGGTACAGCCTGATCACCTGATGTAATTCTACCCCTCACGTGACCACCAACCAGGGTTGTTATGAATCGTATATGACTGAACTCAATTAACATACGGTTGTGTATTTTAGGTGTCTAGCCGGGAGAGCCACATTTCAGAAATGGCTATTGCCGGTAGAGCCACATTTTCAGCTGAGTGCATTTCACCTATTCTAGCGGGTAATTAATTATTCCGATTACCGATACCTTTAAATGAGTGTCCCACATTTAAATAACTAAGCGTGGTGTTCTTTAGAGTTACCTTTAAATGAGTGTTCCACATTTAAATTACTAAGCGTGGTGTTACTTACTTACTTACTTATATTGGAGATTGAACGTGCGCTTTCCGACTGCAAGCGTATGTCGCACACGGGCCCTGCCAGGCCATTTAATGTGTTTCCAAAAAGGGGAAAGTGAGTTTGTGCAACCCAGGAGGGGGGCTTTAGGGGTTGCTTATATAGTAATTTTGAAATTTGGAAAGAATGCCAAGAGTGGGTGGGGGACGAACTAAGGGAGCTGTGTGTGTTGGGTGGTTGTTAGATAAGGTAGTTTTGGTTTTAATATTTTATTTGGGGTTTAAATGCGACTAATTAGTCCTGTTTTAATTAGGTATATGCCTAAGGCTTTGAATTTTTCTAATTTATTTTGTGGATTTTGTGGTACCGTTTTAAGATTTAGGGTGGTCTGTAGTGTTGTTCGGTGTGTTTGGTGGTGTGTGCAGTGAATGAGTACGTGTTCTGGTGTTTCTTGTTGTTTGCAATGCGGGCAGTTTCCTGTTGTGTGTAGATTAGCTTTTTTATGGTGATTATCTAGTTTGGTGTGGCCTGTTTGTAGTTCAGTACCTATGCGATTTTGCTAGGAGAGGAGGTCTAGAGTTTGACATTAGTTAGAGGGTGTTTCTTTCACTTCACCCAATGTATCTGGAGGAGGGTGCAGAAAGATGGTCTGGTGATGGACTATAAGGAAGATGAGGAGGTGAAGAAGCTGGTGGGAAGAGCTGCTGCCCTCCCTCTAGTACCTCGTGACAAAGTGGATGATGTGTGGCTTGATGCCATTGCCGACTCTCCTGCTGGCCCTAAAGTGACTGCCTTCAGGGACTACGTGACAACCAGTTGGGTTCAAGGAGGGGCCTTCATGCCAGAGATTTGGAACCATTTCGAAACAAATGACCTGGAAGGGTGGCACAACAAGATAAACAAACTTGCCAAGAAGTGCCACCCGACCATCTACGAGGTAGTGAAGCTATTTCAGCGAGAGCAGTCACTCAAAGAGGTTACAGTCCTGAGACTCTCTCACCAGTGGTCAGAACCTTCACGAAGAAAGGAGTACAAGGCAATCGATGCACGTATTGCGTCCCTCAAGATCCAGCTCCTGAACCAACACCCTAGTTGAGATGGAATATGCTCACCACGTGGGCGACCCCCTTTCTTCTGCAGTAATGACATTAAATCCATTATGCTATTCATATGCTATTCATATTCATCAATGTAAAGTTTTGATGAATATGTTACTGTTATCCTTGTTGAATAAAAAATGAGAAAACAAGACTTGTTTTGTTATATACGGTAACCTGTTAGAATCACAAAGCATGTTTTGACAGCATAGCCGCGAGAGCCACATTATACAATCACGCAACCATAACCATTGCCGCGAGAGCCACATCAATTTGGGCTATCTATTTTCGAAATGTGGCTTTGCAACAGGGTCTGGGTGCAGCACTCTACTGATTACAACATGCTTGTAAAGGATTTGATCTTGTTTCCATTGATAGTTATTTACCGCAACCTTAAATGGGCCTTCTTATATAGAAGAACATGGACAAAAGTGTTGGTGGAGAACCGATCTGAACATTCGTCAGGGCACAGGGTTGAGCACAGTGACATAGGGTGTTAGGTTTGTTGTGACTACCGATCTATTTCAATGCAGCTATTCACAGCGCAGGATCATATTTGCTTTTATTTCCGAAGCTTATGACACAATCAACAAAGTCATCGAGTCTGACAAGATTCATTTAGTCGCTGGGGACCTGTTCTAACACGGATACACCACGGGGGCCGAGCTTAAAGTATCTATTTATCCGGCATTATACTTGCTTCAAACATCTTATAAACAACCTCATATGAATTAATATGTACACACTCACGAGATGGAATAATAACGCAAAGTAATACAATCTTAATAACCGCACATCCTTCCGTAATAAACACGATACACAAAGTAATCATTTCTAAACATAAACCAATGTGGGGCGTCCACCATAGGCTTCACACATTTACCAATGTGGCGAGTCCACCGTAGGCTTCACACATTTACTAATGTAGGGAGTCCACCGTAGGCTTCACACATTTACTAATGTAGGGAGTCCACCATAGGCTTCACACATTTACCAATGTGGGGAGTCCACTTTAGGCTTCACACATTTACCAATGTAAGGAGTCCACTATAGGCTTCATACATTTACCAATGTGGGCAGTCCACTATAGGCTTCACACATTTACCAATGTAGGGAGTCCACCATAGGCTTAATACATTTACCAATGTGGGGAGTCCACCATAGGCTTCACACATTTACCAATGTAGGGAGTCCACCATAGGCTTAATACATTTAACAATGTGGGGAGTCCACTATAGGCTTCACACATTTACCAATGTGGGGCGTCCACCATAGGCTTCACACATTTACCAATGTAGGGAGTCCACCATAGGCTTCATACATTTAACAATGTGGGGAGTCCACCGTAGGCTTCACACATTTACCAATGTAGGGAGTCCACCGTAGGCTTCACACATTTACTAATGTAGGGAGTCCACCATAGGCTTCACACATTTACCAATGTGGGGAGTCCACTATAGGCTTCACACATTTACCAATGTAAGGAGTCCACTATAGGCTTCATACATTTACCAATGTGGGCAGTCCACTATAGGCTTCATACATTTACCAATGTAGGGAGTCCACCATAGGCTTAATACATTTACCAATGTAGGGAGTCCACCATAGGCTTCACACATTTACCAATGTAGGGAGTCCACCATAGGCTTAATACATTTAACAATGTGGGGCGTCCACCATAGGCTTCACACATTTACCAATGTAGGGAGTCCACCGTAGGCTTCACACATTTACCAATGTGGGGAGTCCACCGTAGGCATCACACATTTACCAATGTTGGGAGTTCACCATAGGCTTCATACATTTACTAATGTAGGGAGTCCACCATAGGCTTCACACATTTACTAATGTTGGGAGTCAACCATAGGCTTCACACATTTACTAATGTAGGGAGTCCACCATAGGCTTCACACATTTACCAATGTTGGGAGTCCACTATAGGCTTCACACATTTACTAATGTAGGGAGTCCACCATAGGCTTCACACATTTACTAATGTAGGGAGTCCACCGTAGGCTTCACACATTTACTAATGTAGGGAGTCCACCATAGGCTTCACACATTTACCAATGTAGGGAGTCAACCATAGGCTTCACACATTTACCAATGTGGGGAGTTCACCATAGGCTTCACACATTTACCAATGTGGGGAGTCAACCATAGGCTTCATACATTTCCCAATGTGGGCAGTTCACCATAGGCTTCACACATTTACCAATGTAGGGAGTCCACCATAGGCTTAATACATTTACCAATGTAGGGAGTCCACTATAGGCTTCACACATTTACCAATGTGGGGAGTCCACCATAGGCTTCACACATTTACCAATGTAGGGAGTCCACCATAGGCTTCACACATTTACCAATGTGGGGAGTTCACCATAGGCTTAATGCATTAACTAATGTAGGGAGTCCACCGTAGGCTTCACACATTTACTAATGTAGGGAGTCGACCGTAGGCTTCACACATTAACTAATGTAGGGAGTCCACCATAGGCTTCACACATTTACCAATGTGGGGAGTCCACCATAGGCTTCACACATTTACCAATGTAGGGAGTCCACCATAGGCTTAATACATTTACCAATGTAGGGAGTCCACCATAGGCTTCACACATTTACCAATGTGGTGAGTTCACCATAGGTTTCACACATTTACCAATGTGGGGAGTCCACTATAGGCTTCATACATTTACCAATGTAGGGAGTCCACCATAGGCTTCACACATTTACCAATGTGGTGAGTTCACCATAGGCTTCACACATTTACCAATGTAGGGAGTCCACTATAGGCTTCATACATTTACCAATGTAGGGAGTTCACCATAGGCTTCACACATTTACCAATGTAGGGAGTCCATCATAGGCTTCACACATTTACCAATGTGGGGAGTCAACCATAGGCTTCACACATTTACCAATTTGGTGAGTCCACATAGGCTTCACACATTTACCAATGTGGTGAGTCCACATAGGCTTCACACATTTACCAATGCGGGGAGTCCACCATAGGCTTCACACATTTACCAATGTGGGGAGTCCACCATAGGCTTCATACATTTACCAATGTAGGGAGTCCACTATAGGCTTCACACATTTACCAATGTGGGGAGTCCACCATAGGCTTCATACATTTACCAATGTGGGGAGTCCACCATAGGCTTCATACATTTACCAATGTGGAGAGTCCACCATAGGCTTAATTCATTTACCAATGTGGGGAGTCCACTATAGGCTTCATACATTTACCAATGTGGAGAGTCCACCATAGGCTTAATACATTTACCAATGTGGGGAGTTCACCATAGGCTTGACACATTTACCAATGTAGGGAGTCAACCATAGGCTTGACACATTTACCAATGTGGGGAGTCCACCATAGGTTTCACACATTTACCAATGTGGGAAGTCCACCATAGGCTTCACACATTATCAATGTAGGGAGTCAACTATAGGCTTCACACATTTACCAATGTGGGGAGTCCACCATAGGCTTTACACCGTAGGCTTCAGCAACTATGCTTATCGTAGGAGGCGACCTGCGGGGTTGGGTGGTCAGGCTCGCTGACTTGGTTGATGCATATCATTGATGCTCATGATATCCATCACTGGAATGCCTGGTCCAGATTCAAATATTTACAGACCGCCGTCAAATAGCTGGAATATTTCTGAGTGCGGCGTTAAACAACAAACAAGCAAACATTTAC